TATGAAAAAACTGAAGAAAAGAGAGCAAATAAGGTTAGTAGTAGTTCAGTGATATTCTGGCAGGACATCTTGACTATCAGAAACTTCCACAGAGACCGTCCCTGTCAGAAACTGGGTTCAGTTAAATCAATTTTGCATATAGCATAGGGGATAAATGAGTGGCAAGCAGAGGCCCAGAATAGCGATTGAGAGCAGACATGGAGATTTAGCTCCAGGGATGCCACATCTGGGAGGCAAAAAAACCCTAAACAAAACAGGAGAACCACATTGCTGAAATAAGTTCTTGTTTAAAGGTCATAAAGGGCCTAACCAGGTCTGAGACATTTCAACATGTGAAACACTTTCATTACCTGACAACTGGGGGTCTGGAAAACCAGGAGATCTTTAAAAATTAAAAGTAGCCACTAGTTCAGGAGTCTGGCATAGAAGAACTACTGATAGGGCTGCCACACAAGCAGAGCATTTGTTTTCTTCTTCGCATTCTAAGATACTCCTTTAGGAATGAGATCTAACTAAACCAAGAGGAAGCAAAGCCAGAAAGAAATGCTGGAAGAGCAAATTAAGCATGCCTGCTGTCCACTCAGTAGCACACAGTAACGGAGAAACTAACAGTAGCCTGGATACAACTTGAGAGTATTCAATGAAAACTTGAACACCAACCCACTTGTCCAAGCAGGTTACAGACAAAACCCCATCTGAAGTGATCTTGTCCACTGGGTCAGAGGTATATTCTCACTTACCAGCTAATTTGCTTTCTGTGCTTGGTTTGGCTCCTCCTCCTCCTCAATTGCTCTGACATGTTGAGCAATCAAGGATTTGCCCGCCTTGAGGGCTCCCCCCCTCCACTTTTCCAGAGTGATTCTTGCAAATTGCCCACTCTACCTTCCTAACAATGCTTGAACTTGGAAAGCCTGGTAGTGTTAGAGTTCATGGCCCTGTCTCAACTGGACCACAGAAAGCAAGTTACCCAGCAAATGAGAACATGCCTTGCTGTAGATCAGTCTGACAGCACACACATACTAGATTCTGGAAAGCACTAACTGAAAACCCACAGTAGGGAAGGAGAACAAGAGAGTCCAGGCTCAACTTTAAGAGGGAGCTTGAGAGCAAAGAAGCAGGGGAAGAAGGAATAGAAACCTCCAAATCCTTCAGCTGCTCCCCATGAAGAAAGCTTCTTGTGGAAGCCCTGCTCTAAATACCCTGCAACCAAGGGCTGGGTCCACAACTACCTGCATAATTTGTGCATGGTGAGAGTGAGAGCACAGGGAACACCAGGTTACAGCTTTACAAAGCTTGTCTATTGACATCTCCCCTCTCCAGCCCAGATGATGGCCATGGCTCTGGCAGACGGAGCTTTAATTTATACTGGCCAGTGAAATTCTGAGGGTTTGTAGGCCTTCTAGAGTCTGCACCTGATTAAATTATCCATGATTAAGGCTACATTTGTCATGGACGTCACAGAAGTCACACAATCAGTGACTTCCAGAAACCTCTGAGACATTTTCTGCTTCAGCCCCTGGGGCTGCAGGACTGGAGCTGGCAGCCAGCGGGGCCCTGGCAGGGTTCCTGTGACAAGCAACAGCCCCCTCAGGGCCCCCCTGAAGGTTTCCAGCGACAGGCAACAGCCTCTTCAGGTGGCCCCCCTTAAGCGACCAGCGACAAGCGATAGCCTTGTGGGGAGAGCGGGGAGAGAGCCCTGCAGCTCCCAGCTACCATGGTGGCAAGGGAAACCATGGAGCCCCAGCAGCAAAATTCACAGACAGATCGCAGCTTCCGTGAATTTTTGTTTATTGCCCGTGACCTGTCCGTGACTTTTACTAAAAATAACCATGACAAAATCTTAGCCTTATCCATGATGAATCTGGCTGCCTGAGGATTTTCTTTGAACCCTAAAAAAAAAAAAAAAAAGAAAATGAGAAAGATTGTCCATTCCCCTGAATATTTCAGATTTAAGTACAGAGGAGGGCTGCTCTTGAAGTCCAATGGGTAGCAGCAGGCTTTTCCCTTCCTGTTCTAGATTGGACCAAAACTCCAAAGGAGATATCATGGTTAGCTGAAATGGGGACAGGCTTTCCTGTAAAAGCTAGGACAGATGCACAGAGCCACCTTGTCATTACAGAAGATTAAAGATGGAGAGCTCTCCCATGCTCCTGGTTGAGTTGATTGCTATCCAAAAACTACCTTGTGGATGAAAGAACCACAAATCTCAGATGAGGTTCAAAGGGAGGTTCATAAAACATGAGGAAAACCTCTTCCAACTAATGAAGGCAATGTAGAGCTAGCTAGAGGACAAAGTTATGCCACTCAAAGTATAAGTAGAATAAGAGGTCCCCTACTGATAAGACCGTATAAAGAGTTTAGCACAAAGACTTAAATCCTAAAAGAGTTAAGAGCTGGCTATTGACCGAAGATTTCTGTAGGATACTCAAGATGGGCCAGAATCCCAACTTACGCAGGAAATCCTTTGCCTTGTTTCACACAAGTTTAAACCCTCTAATATAAAACAGAAGCATTTTTCACAGGTACAGCATGGTTTGGGCCACCCAAATGCAAATCCCAAACTCCTGCAGCAGTGTTCTGTTATGAACCAGGTAGAGACCTAGGGCACCTGATTTTGCTATAGAAAAATCTTGATGTTGGGGGCGGGGGGGAGAATGACGACACGACTCTTAGGTATTGGGTGAGCATTAGCAGGTCTGCCTACCAACTCCACCTTCACCAGGTAATTAGATTTAAAGAAATCCCATGTCAAGCAGTTTTCTTAGGGTATGTCTACACTGGAGCTGGGAATATAATTTCCATCTTAGGTAGACATACCCATGCTAACTCGATCGCAGCTAGCAAAAATAGAAGCCTCAAACTCCAGTGTAGATATACCCGTAGACCATTAATACAAGTGACAGAGGAGGAATGTGAAGCCCAATGGAAATTCCAAGAATAGTAAGTTCATCCCAGGTCAGTGCTGCAGTGTCTAGGACTGCAGGGTTTGGGTATCCACTGATAAGAGTACTTGGTGGTTCGGTCTACAAGAGGAATTCCCCATTTTGGGGGATGTGCTGCAGTACTTGCTTTGGTAACCACTCTTGGAAAGGTCTTTGATGAACATAAGCAGCCTGCTGCACACAGTGTCAAAAAACATGTAGGGCCTTACTGACTATTGCCTTCACCCAAGAGAACAAAAAGGTCAGGACTCCCTTAGCAAGACAGTAGGTTCATAACTACAGCTACAATGTTGCATTTAACACATACCTTCCCTATATTAGCCAGTACACTTTGAGGGTGTTTATGTGCAGCCATCTCCCTTAGGAAGCAGGTCATCCTGCATTGAGCAGGTCATCCAGGAGATCTTCTCACCCACAGGCTCACATCCAAGGCAATGTGTATTCTGGCTGAGACTAAGGGAATGCAATAAAGGTACTTTTTCCCCCTCCCCAATTTGCTACAAGACCAAGTAAATCAAACAACTCCGGTATCTCCTGCATTGCTAGACTGGCACAATCTTGTGAGAGTGTCCAAATAAATCAATCCTTCAAGTAAGGACACAAAACCCTCTTGGAGGGTAGGGGTGGGGGGGGTTACTGCTACATGACATTAATTAACACTTGCAAGCCAGATGACGGGCCAAATGGAAAAAAAGACAAATTGGAAGCAACCTCATAAATCTTAGGTACTTCAGGTGGGAAGGAGCAACTGGGATATCATCTAATCAAAAAGATTCTGCACATTATTTCTTCAGCGTTTCCTAGTCAGTCAATTTTGTCTTCTCACTATCCGCCCATTAGATTGTGAGGCATTCGGAGCATGGACTGTATTGGTGTTTCATCCAAAGCTAAGCACTTCATTCACAAATCCTCACCCCATCTCTAAAGCCATACCACAAGATTAACAAGAAAACACCTGGAAACTCGTCGGGTTCCCACCAGTAGACGAAGGAAATCATCGGTTGGCAAACCAAACAACAAGGTTCTCTACTTCCAATTGGAAGTTCTTTTTTCAAACTCAAAATTTTCTTATCTGATTTTCAAAAATCCATCAAGACAGACCAGTTATAGATGCCAGAAATTCCAATTCTGAGGATTACTATCACCCCCTCATTCTTATTTTTCTGAATATTTAGCTCTGAAGACTGATTACTTATCCAGCATGCTGCAAGACAGCAGTGTTATCCTCATTAGGAGACCTTCAACTATTTCATGTTATACTTAAAAAAAGCCACCACTGAAACACAAATTGAATTGGAGGTCCTATCATTCCCAACTTCTCAAACTTATACTCTTGATTTGGCGCCACGGCTGGTGGCTTAAACTATTCAAATATCACCATCTGAATGTCTGTGGCAAACAAACCTCCCTAGTTTGGTCCAGTGACACGTTTACAAGCACTCCATTTGGCACCTTTGTTTCACTTCATTCTGTGAGCTACTTACCTGCTGATAATGTAAAAGATTTCCAGTGGTCAACTATGGAAAGGGGCCCAGCAGCAAAGTAGCCAAAGGCAATTTAGGATGCAGTAAAGTATTAACTTACAATGACTCAAAAATAAACATATGAGGATCTGCATTGGCAGTCAGTTAATCCAGAGTTCCCTAGATTTGTGACCCAAGTTTGTTTATTCCAGAGACTAAAGTTTCAAACTACCCTTCCAAGGCAAAAGCACAAAATTGTAATGGGTCAGAAAATATCCTGATATTGGAGTGAGTTTTACTTTGATATAGTACCTTGTTATGTAGTTTTACCTGAAAGTAGGATATCAACAGACTCTGTGTATTAAAGATCTGATTTCTAATAGCATATTAAATCCTGTAAGTGATTTTCCTTTGATCACTGTTCACACACTTCTAGCATTTCCGTAGGTTGGGCTAAGCAAAGTAACTTCTACATTTTCACCTAAAGATGTGTCAGCTTGCCTTTTTTACTTCTTGCACTGTATGAAGCTATCCAGCTTCCTTTGTTAGCGGTAGCACCAGCTCTCGAATCAGCAGAGAGGTATGGGAGACTTACGCTGGTCACTCGACGGTAGATCTGCGCAGCATTTTGGCACTCAGAATAAGGATATTCAGACGTGGCCATCTCAAGCATACACATCCCAAAAGCATATACATCAACGGATTCATCGTATTTCTCCTCATACATCTCGGGTGCCATGAACTCTGGGGTACCTTAAATTAAAAGAACGATTCAGACTCTAAATGTCTCAAAGCGAGCAGAGGCTGCTGGCGTTACTCACCGCAGAAGGAAGCGGACGGGCAGACCTGTGAGAGAAGAGAAAGTGGAGGCAAAAAGAAGAGGGAGGAAACCCTTAGTCACTCTGTTGCATCAATGTACCCCACGGGTGTCCCACTGCAAGGCCTTTGTAAGAAATTAGATGAGAGGGTCCATATTTTGACTGCTTTCCACATATGTTACTCAACATAAGGGCAGAAATGGGAAACTTTGGCTACAATAAAAATTGGATCAGGGGATGAAGATCAAATTGAAGACAAATGGAGAAAAAAGTAAAAGACTAGCAAGACTGCAAACCAAATACTAGGGAGAGTTAGACACACTTACCTTTCCTCCCTGTAAGAAAGGAGGCAATGAGGCTTGTTGCAACATACCCATCTGTCCTCTGCTGCAAAAAAGTAGTACTGGTAAGAGCCCACAGCTAGTCTCTGACCTGTAACACTCCATTTACTTTTTGAAGTGGAACTGTTCAGAAAAAGGCCTTGCAATGAAAAACCCAGTCACTACAGATAAAGCTTCATAAGGAATGAATAAAAGTAATTTTCTGCAAAGGCCACTCACCAGAGCCCTTTTCTTCACATACTTACCTTCTCACCTGCAGTATATTTTATAGGCCTACTGCAGATACAGGCAATAGTGAGGAACATCCTACAGGCAAAAAATACTTAGAAATACAGAGAGATTGAGTTACAGGCACAGAGCGTGAGATTCAACAAGTCCCAATGTAAAGAGTTTGCAGAAAATGCACTGCCCCCTACTGCCCCAATCACAGCACACTCTCCACAAGTGAAGAGATGGCACTGTATGATCAGGGCTCCTCCAAGCCAGAGATGAAAGACTTTAAGCAGTGAATTATTTCCTGCAAGCTAACCAGATTTAAGACTGTTTGAAGATCAGTTAACCTAGCTTCCCTAATCCTTCCCCACAACCCATAATCCAGAAGTCAATTATATCCAATTAACCATAGGCTAACAATTATTAGCAAGAACACAGAGTGATATGATTGAAGCTCTAAGCAGAAAATTAACACATGCTGAGGATGTGTTTTGTAAGGAAATTTTATATACTGCCATTATATATTTTTCCACTTCTGTCAATATTTAAACACTACCCTGGTCAGGAAGCAGGAAACATTTTAATAATGATAGCGTGCAAAACATCTGCAAACTTATATCAACAGTGTATTCAGGAGAACAGGTAAAAGACCATTCAGCAATATAAGTTTGCTGTATTTTAATAAACTATATTGACACTAAATCAGTGTTAGCAGCACATTAAAAAGGACCACCTTGCTCCCTTGTTAGTCTGAATATAATGCAGACTATCAGAACAAAAGTTGATAAAACCAATTTTCTAGGATAATCCAATGGTGTCAGTTTCAAACTAGCTCAAACTAAAATAGGGTACTCTACAATGTTAGATTGACAACCTAGCAGATTTGGGTATGTAGCTAGATGCTAAGCTAGGTATCAAGATATATTATTGATAGAAAGGGAGAGGTATGTCACCAAAACCACTTTGTGTGCACTTAAACAAATTGGCAATAAATACAATTTCAGATTTAAATCGGTTTAATATCCCATAATCCAGCTACAATGGTTTTATCAACTGTGTTCAACTAAGCCATGGGGGGCAACATCATAAGCCTATATTCCCAAAATGCTTCCACAGATTGTATCCAAATACTAGGAGCACAGATACCAAAACCCTGCAACAAAAGATATTTAATCAGTACAGCAGAATGAGCCCCACAATTCAGAAGCAAAACCAGTATCACTTTTCTGAGCTCAGATCAGGTATTTTAAGAAGGGTATACTTGAGCGAAATTTCTGCTGGGAGAGTCAAATTTCCAAGTAAGTGGACTGGGTCTACCAGCCTCCAAAAACAATATAGGCTTACCTATCACACTCTTGGCAAAGGAGGCTCGTTTCAGAGTTGCCAGACCCAGGTCTCCTATCTTGACTGATCCAGTGGGGCCAGTGATGAAAATGTTGTCGCATTTCAGGTCCCGGTGGATAATGGGAGGAGTGCGCGTGTGCAGAAACTGCAAGCCCTTCAATATCTGACGGCACCAACTTCGTAGTACTTTGATTTTCATCACTTTAAACCTTTTCAAATACCTGAGAAAAAGAACAGAGTAAAAGGGAATACATATTTCAGGTTCATTCGTTAGGTTTTCACCATTAATTCTGTTAATGTATAAAAACAACTAATGTATACTACTGAATATACTACAATTTACATGTGGCCTATTTATTACATTTAATGGACCGATTTCAGTGCACTGGATGCTCTGGAACAGTACTGTTCCACGACAGAGTGTCAGCACTCCCTATTGGCTGCAGAGCTGTAAGCTATGGAAGCAGCGAGCAAGTTTTTGGAGATAGGCAGGACAGGAATAGTGAATCTGGCTCTGCAGATCCACTGATCATTCCTCTCCTTGGCATTCCTCTCCACAGCAACAGCTGTGACTCAAATATATTTCATGCTGTCTTTTAGACAGCTGCATTAGTCTGGCCCTGCTGACAGAAAGACTGCAGTTCTTTAAAACTTTCAGAAGAGGAAAGACTAGTTAGAGTTCAAGAATTCATAAATAGCTAGTTCTGTCCACTACCAAACCTCAGCTTTGCCTTCTACTTTAAGTCTGCCTACACGGCCCCAATGTGGCCAGAACCTTTAAGAAAGTTACCAAATTGACCTCCATATACATATTTTTAGTGAGCCTGAGGGCTGGCTTGGCCTATCTAGTTACTTCAGCATTTTGCTGTTTAATTTTCTTTACTACCCAGGAGGTGACTGCTGATGGTTCTGATGGATAAAATGGAACTCTAATTCTATAGTTGTGTCAAATCAGTGATTTGACACAATATGACTTCAAATGCAGATAGCTGAAGGTTTCGTTTATTTTTTTAATCCTGGTTCTAAAACCCTTTATCTCCAATTAAAATTTGACATCTTCCATGCTGCACCACCTGCTCAGCAAAGCTATTCTCCCCCCCCCCCCTTCATTTTTCCTCTAATATATTGCTTACGTAGCTAGGTCTGACCACTATCTTATATAAATATGCCTTTTCCTGGACACAGCAGAGGAAAAGAACACTGGAGAATGTCAAATTCTGAATGAATAGAAGTTTTGTTGGGCAGTGAGTGACAGCTATGAAGTCACCACAGCAACCACTCAGCTACTGAAATATTAATCCAAGCAACTCAGCCAGGGACCTAGGGTACAGTTCAAACTTGCCTCAACTTGACTTATCAAGTTAGCTGTTCTCAAAGGTCTCAAGAGATGTAGGACAGGATTTAATCACTTAAAACCCAACTGAAAACACCATCTGGACTCATTACAGAACTCTGTGAAGATGGAGGAACCTTCTAGCCCAAAGGATGCACTCTACTGAATGGACAATACAGATTCAACAAATCCAAACCGCCTTTCAGAGAAGACATGGCACAATCTCAAGTTTCTTGACACACTATTGCTTGGGTTTCGAAAAAGTCTAAATACAAGAGTCAGGCCAGAGATGGAACTTTTGTTTCCAGGCTTGTTAACAGGCTTCATCTGGGTCCACTTCTATATAGGTTTTTATACCAACCCCCTCACCATAGTCTCTGAACACCAACCAGTAGTGCATTAAGCAATATGACTAACATCTTTCATGTATGGGTTGGTGTTCTCATCTTCTCCCTAGGAGGAGAATTGTGTGTGCAGTGTAGGGTTTTCTTTGTTTTTAAAAACGTACATGTGGCTGCGTGTTTATATTAGAGAAAGAAAGGTTGAAGAAATGTGCTTTGCACATGCAGAGGAAGGTGGTGACGTTTGTGATGGTTCCCAGTTTATTCCACAGTCTTGGACCAATCCTTGAGAAGGCTGTCTCCTGCACCACTCCAAGACAGTTGTCCTAATTCCTGTGACCAGCACCGAGGTCAGTACTATGTGATGCTATAAGACTGGGATTATCATGTTTACCCCAGAGCACTGCCAATGTGAGTTCTGGTTTCTGTGTATCCACTTCATTAGAAGAGCTGGTCTTGATGAAATCATTTGGACCATTGCCCGCATAAGCTCACACACATTAATTCCCATTACTACAATTTCTCTGGTTCAAAGAAAGCCCTTGAAATCAAGCTCCTAGTGATAATCCTGCTGTAAAACAGCTCTGTAAAAGCAATCAGGAGCCAAATCCAGAGGGAAATCAGAGCACAATTTAAGGAGAGAACAAGGGCAGAAAAAAGCAAGTCCAGGAAGAGAGAGCGAATGAAAGAGGCTCTGGTTCATATCAGCTACCACTCATGATTTTGGCTCAAATACTTTTTGCTACTGACACAGTCATTCATCTCTTTAATGCCTGTTCCAAGGGTCACATGCTAGTGGCACTCTAGTTCAGCTTTTGGGATCTCCAATTACATTCTTGATTCTCAAATATGCTGGTCTACTGCCAGTTCCTCACTCCTAAAGGAACTAGGCTCATACCATCATCCTGCATCCCTGAAGGATTGTTGTAATTTTCCAAAAACACTGTCATAAGCTACCAATCACGTTGCTTTTAAAGCTCACACAGACAATATTTTAAAAGGAAAACGAAAACTTTACTCCAGTCCATTTTCAATGAAGACAATACATCTTAAAACACAGATTAGTTACCAGGCAGACAACTACTATCCTGACAGTAGTTACATTGTTTTGGATGTCAGCAGCAAATCAGAACAAATGGAAAGTCAGATTTGCAAACTGTGCATTGTTAAGTATTTATTTAAAAGACTACCTGCAATGGGGGGAGAGGGGAGGAAATGGTCTTAATCCCTTTATGGTGTATAAAGAAGGACCTGAAAGGGTTATTTTCCCCTTGCTGCTTTATTTTTATACTAGAAATTCAGATAGTCTAGCCTGGAAAAATGATGACTGTAGAAACTAGAGAAATAACATCACAAGAGAGGAATGGAAGCTGAACAACTGAAAGGAGAAGGGATTTTAGTCAGACTGTTTAGAACTTGGTTTGCTTTTGTTGGCACTATCATTCCTGGAAAAAGGTCATATTTGTGAAAAATTGGGCATCCTCTCCTTCAACTAAAGTGTGGGTCTATGCTACACTGAGATTCCCTCAACAAGGCCAAAATGGACATTCCCAATATTTTGAAGGTAAAACCACAGCAGAAAAAGCCACACAACTGCATCAGACCTTTTCACAGCATAAAGCGAAAGAAAAGAACATCAGGTCATTGTGACACTGCACCCCATATTCTTCACAGTGATATTATAATACAATTATGACAATCATAATGTATTTTATGCAAGATAAATCATGTGAGGTATCATTGAAAAGGTTATGATTTACTGAATATGATTATCCTATTTGTATACATGTATCTTTTTGAATCTGAAGTTAGGAGTATTAGGCATATTTTGTTTATTTGCTGGGTAATTGCCTTTGATCTGTTTGCTATCCCTTATAATCACTTAAAATCTATTTTTTGTAGTTAATAAACTTGTTTTTGCTTTGTCTAAAACCAGTGTGTGGGAGTCATAACTCGGGCAGAAAGCTGTTGTGTATTCCTTTCCACACTGAGGGAGGGGGCAAATTTCATGAGCTTATGCTGTATAGTTCCCTGTGCAGCACAAGACTCTATAATTTTGGCACTCAGGTGCCTGCCTGAGTAGCTGGGAAGTTCCCTAGCTGGAGCCTTCCCATGCGGTGCCAGTCACAGCATCTGCATGTAACTGCAGCTGGGTGTGTCCCTAGTTGTATGTGGTCTGGGCAGATTGTCACAGTACAGTGTAAAGGGAGCCCAGGCTGGTGGGTTGAGGGGGCTCAGTGATACCCCAGTTCCAGGTGGCACCCTGGGGGGAACCCATCACAGTCATTTTTTTTTTTCTTTTAACAGTTACATTTTGTTTAAAAAGAGAACCAGCAGGAAGTCTAGTCTGACATAAAAGTGCAATCCTTCCTCTGAGTTACATGAGCCCCATTCAATTAACAGAAAAAGAAAACAGTTTCTAAACATGGTTTTGAAAACTGAATATCTTTGTCTTATAAATGGCTCAGCCAACTAATCACTGCAGCTCTCTTAAAAAAGAGCAATGAACATTTCAATGGCTTTAAGAAGCAGTTCTTAGATTAATATTAGTTTTTAAAAAGCCACATTAAAGTAGCCTGACCTATTAGGGAATTTAAATTAAACCTAAAATAGTTTTAAATCTGAATTATATTTATGCTCTTTACACTTCTCTAATCTTTCACAATGAAAATAGACCAGTTAATTTCACTTTGTTCTCATGCATTAACATGGGCTGCAAACACTGCAGGTCTTGTTTGATAAACTACTTATTTAGGCCTGGTCTACACTAGGCTTTTATGTCGAATTTGGCGCCGTTACATCGAATTAACCCTGCACCCGTCCACACCACGAAGCTATTTAGTTCGACATAGAGCTCTCTTAAATTCGACTTCTGTACTCCTCCCCAAAGAGAGGAGTAGCGCTAAATTCGAAATGGCCATATCGAATTAGGCTAGGTGTGGATGGAAATCGACGCGAATAGCTCTGGGAGCTATCCCACAGTGCACCACTCTGTTGACGCTCTGGACAGCGGTCCGAGCTCGGATGCTCTGACCAGCCACACAGGAAAAGCCCCGGGAAAATTTGAATTCTTTTTCCTGTCTGGGTAGTTTGAATCTCATTTCCTGTTTGGACATCGTGGCGAGCTCAGCAGCACTGGCAACGATGCAGAGCTCTCCAGCAGAGATGGCCGTGCAATCTAATAGAAAGAGGGCCCCAGCATAGACTGATCGGGAAGTCTTGGATCTCATCGCTGTGTGGGGCGATGAGTCCGTGCTTTCAGAGCTGCGCTCCAAAAGAAGGAATGCAAAGATCTACGAGAAGATCTCTAAAGCCATGGCAGAGAGAGGATACAGCCGGGATGCAACGCAGTGCCGCGTGAAAATCAAGGAGCTGAGACAAGGCTACCAAAAAACCAAAGAGGCAAACGGACGCTCCGGATCCCAGCCCCACACATCCCGTTTCTACCAGGCACTGCATTCCATCCTGGGTGCGGCCGCCACCACTACCCCACCCGTGACCGTGGACTCTGAGGATGGGATATTGTCCGCGGCCGGTTCCTCGTCGG